TTTTTGTTTTTTGGTAAATTTGATTTGTATACTCAAGCAGCAGATGTACATACTTCCAATTTATACATCAAAAAAGAAAAAAATGCTGTTAATTTCAATCAGAGCTTGATACAGGAATAACAGAGGTGTTTGTTCCTGTCTCACGCCTATCTCCATATGCCATGAAACAATTAGTTGTAAAAATAATGAGAGATCCAAGTCAACTACGATGACTGCTTAACCATTTAATTCAAGTGTTAATACCCATGTATCACTTCTTTGGATGTGGGAGTCCGTCCTAATGTCTACTTCATTTTGCTTTCAATATTTGCATTGAAGAAATCCAACTTATTCCCCTTTCTGCTTGAAGAACACCTCTCAATAATTGACAATTTAATCATCACGTGTATAGGAAGATAATTTAAGCTGTAGAACTTTCAAACATAATTAAATAGAAGACTCCGAGATAAAACGCTCCCTCTTTCTCCAGTTATAAAAATGAAGTTGGTTTGAGTGTATCAGAGACATAAATAGAGGCATTCTCATATATTTAATGGCTGGACGGACTACCGTGATTCAATTCTTGATTCTTGTCCATTTCAAGACTTCTGTGAAAGTCTAATTTTCCATTCGACCAATGTTCTCTTGTATTATATGTTCAGATTAATTAGAATTACAGGTAGTATTTCCCGTCCGCATACAACAGGTAAGCTACCCGATGAGCTTAGCTCTTTAGGATATGCACCAATTTAACCTTTCTAGTTGTTACACTCTAATGTTAAGAAAGTTATATTGTCAGCATTTCCAGATTCTTCAATGGAAGTGTCTATAGAACTATTTCACTGAAACTAATGTGAACTGACAAATAATGAGGGTGAGAGGGTGTCTCCATTGCACATAGGAGGCGCGCTTGTCTAGGTCCTTACCTATGGGGAAGAAAAGAGCCATAGGTCATAATTTGTGGCAGTGGGTACTTTCGTTCAGAAGACCCCTACCCATTTTTCAGTACAGAAAATTTATATTCCCTTCAGCTTTTTCAGGCCCCTCTTGAACTACGTCCTTCTAGACTAAATTATTTCATGCGACATGGAACGCAATCCTAATTATATAGTACCGTGGATAACAGGATACGCTTCAGAATTTTGAACACCGGCTGGTATTTCCCCTGAAGCACAGCAAATTCTCATTGACTAGTTTCGAGGACCATACTCTTAAGACTAAAATTGGTGGGGCACTCACAGGGAGTACCCTCCAAAAATTGGCGTATGCCGCTTTAAGTGACGAGCACACGGTATTCTTTAGTAAAAGGCGAAAGAATAGTTCGCTCTGTGCTCGACACACGGCTCCGTAATTCAATATTGTGTTAAGCGTGTCATTATAAGCAGGAGGGTCGGGTGGTGTCCAATTTGTCCATTCGATGTGGGATTCTAGGTCTTATTTTCGGGTCTCGGCTTTCACTTCCCTGCATTGATTTCTAACATATCTCTTTCATCTTTAAGAAAACCTCCTATGCAATACAGTCAACCGGCAGATAATTTATTAGAATTTAGGTAGGTTACGATGTACGGAGCTCTAACAAAAATGTCGGAATATTTCATCTTCGATGAACAAAAATGGGAACAGATTGGAAACAAATGTTGTAAACCGAAAACGATAGATTGTTATTAAATGGTATACCATTTGCAACTCTCGTTGGGTGAGGATTTGCGAATTGTCTCTTGAAACCAGAAACCACAAATATTTTACACTACAGATTTGCAGGGCTTTACCCCAAAGGGAGCCCTTCCAGAAATTCTCGAAGGCCTGAGTCAAGCCCAGGCCAACGAGGGGGTTTGGAAATAGTTTTCAACCAGCAATAGACGCGCCTCGGTTAGAACCTCATGAGCTGCGTCATTGCCCCAAGCGCAAAGATAAATGTGATTAATCTTGACTTTAGTTTTTATATTATATACGAGATATTCTACTTTGTTTTTAACCGATGTGGGACACTGAAATTCCCTCATGTCTATGCTACTTCTCAATCCTATACCTTAAACATAGTAGACAAAAGCCTACATTTAATCCTTTCCCTTAATAAGTTTATAAGTTTTAACCTCTCATTTTATATTATGACATTTTTAATCTTTCATCTATACAAATTAAAAAAAAATAACTCTTACTTAACTTTAAGTTATAATGTTTTGTTTGTTCTGTTAACTAATTGTTAGTTCTATTAGCTAACTGTTAATACTCCGTTAACAGAACTAACAAATAAAATTAAATTTAAATTTTATATTTTCTATAACGAAATATTAACAGTCAGCTAACATAGTTAACAACTAGCTAATAAAACTAACAATTAGCTAACATGATATTAAATACGAGTTATTTTCTTCATTTTGTATAGGTGAGGAACTAAAAATATTATAGTGTAAGGTGATAGGCTAAAAGTGTCATGATGTAAGTTAAAGGGTTAAAAGTGTCATGATGTAAGTTAAAGGGTTAAAAGTGTTATAGTGTAAAGTAAGTGATTAAAATCTATAAATTTATTAAGGTAAATGGTTAAAAATAAGTTTTTACCGAACCTAATGGTGGTTCATGTTTGTATCCAATCAAATTTCTTAGAAGTTAAGATATTTGGCATTAACTTGGTTGAAATTATGAAGGATATCCGTAATGTAGGTACATCAATCGATCCAATAATCATGTAAATGGTCCAAGGTTGGTCTATTTAGAGGCAAGAAACCTCATACTCAGAGCAGCTCCTTCAAAGCGTGAAGGCTGTTGCTGCCTGCCTCTACATCTTTGGTTGGATTCTAGGCTTAAGATATCCTAGTTTTCATCCCATACTTCTCTTATTAGAGGGCCAACAATTAGCCAAATCGAAATCATATAAAAATAAAATCATGTCTCTATTTGTAATTGAAACATGGTAAGAACTAATTCTCTGTCAAGGAATTAGGAAATAGAAGGACCGCCCAATCTATTCCCTATCTTTACTCTTAACGAATCAAGGTATTTTGGAATGAAGAGGCTCACGGCCAGTGAGCTTGTCCCGCCACCATTTCCTATGTCCTCCACTACCCAGAACCAGAATGGGGATGGTGAGGACTACCATAAAGTTACTCTCAATCAGATTGGAACACGAGCAGAGATTTTGATAGCGTCCATCTGGGTATAAATCTTCCAGCATCATCAAGGCTCCTGAAAAATGCTTTCGATTTGTTCAGGACGAAAAATGAGATAGAGAGGGGGAGAAAGAAATGCAAGGTTACAGTACAGTCCAAACCAGGCAGGCGTACATAAAACATGGATTGCCATGGTCTAAAAATTGATACATGAATGATGAAATGATATAAATTTCGATTGTTTTCAGCGAAGAGTGGCACCGACAAGTACTGGTTCTGTGTTTTTTTTTTTTTATTCTTAATTTGTTTTTCCATGCTAATAACAGTCACGATAGCGTTGTTTCAAAGAATTTCAACCGCATACGCAAGAATTTATAACCGCAGACAACTGACCTATATATGATTGATCATAATTAAACGGTGAAAAAAGAAAATTTATATAGACAGATATTCTTATTTCTATGCATGCACCTCACGTATCGGCTCTAGATAAAAATCTATCTACAGGAGAGCTTAAAAAAATGAGAGCACAAGTCACTTAGATCAAAATAAATTTTGCCTATATAACCAAGAGAAGCTCAATTTACTAATTATATCTACACATCTAGGAGTTAAATAAACAGAACACTCAAGACAATACATGTAAATCACAAGTGTAATTCTCCAATTTCTGGGTATAAGGAGGATGAAGATTCCAGATTAGAAGGCATACACATGATGAGCAGAACAATATGCCGTATACACAACTAATTGACCATTCTATTGAAGAATTGCACCAAAAAAGACCAAAAAAAAAAAAAACTAAATGCAATTGATTTAGCACCTTGCAAAATTCACAAACAGAACGCGGATACCATGAACAAATTCAAGCCCTAGTATGATCAACCAAGCAAACCTTGCCTTCAGTTGCATCTGTTATATATTCACTGGAGACATTGTCATATCATAAGATAAGAAAATAATAACTACCCATGATGTTAAATTTCAACTCATGATAACTCAAATATGCCCTTGAACTGCCCTACCACATACAAGCAAAATCTGAATCAATAGCCAAATAAATAATCCTCAATACTCTTTATTTATGGTTCTTTGCCGTCCCTCTCAACAGCTCTGGGAAATCTCATTTTTACAACTTCCAGCAGCACTCATGCAGCTGTAAGTTCCAGTTTAATTGAAGAATATCAGGACTAAGTCTAGGTAGAATCTAGCACATTCATGAATCGGCATCAAAAGTAGCCTTTATAATTTCTAATTGCAACCCTTGTGCCTGGAACAAATATATAGCCATGCATCTGTCTTGCGCAAAAAGTACAACCAAGGTGAAAGGTCAACATTAAAGCTCTTATAACGCAGAGATAGCACATCTAAAATCGACAACGAAATTAATCATAAATCATAAAGATGATTCTAACCAAATCCAAATATGCATTAAGATTCTAGTATTCAACATTACTAAAGAAAAAAGGGCTCCATCCAGTTTCATATCGGATGACATGACTGTACATCGTATCATCCCAACTCAATTTCGCATGGATTTTAAAACAAATAAAACCCACCAGACAAAGAAATAAGTCCGATACATATTAGCATACTCTACCGATGAATGTTAAGCATGTCCTTGGCTTCACTCTGCTGTTCCAACAGCCCTTCACTGGCGTACTTACTCAGAAGCTCCATCTTCTTCTTCTCCACCACCATCCTCTCAATCTCTTTCTCGTCTGGCAATGGCACATGGACAACAAACTCCCTTTCCTTCTCTCTCTTCTCCATCTCCTCCCTCTCCTTGTTCCTTTCTTCCTCCACCACATCTTCCTCCTCTTCAAACAGTACCTCCTTTGCTGCCCCCACAGTTACCACCTCCTTTGCCCCCTTCCTTGCTTCTTTCCTCACCTCCTCAACCCTCTTCCATTCCTCTTCTGCCTCCGCCCTCATCTTCGCCTCCGCTGGTCCCTCCACCCTCTCCAACACCCCATCCTCATCATCCCTGTACCCGTAATAACTAGCATCAATCCTCTTATATATATCATACCTAGTTCTTCTCTTTCGCAGTTCCGGCGGCTTCTCAAACAACTCTCTTACACCGGGCAATTTCTTCGCCGCTCCAAAATACCTGTACCCAGGCCCTCGTCCACTAGGGTTCGGAACGTCTACTATATTCCCTTCCAAATCCGTCATCTTCGGCGCATGTTTGGCATAATTAGAACCGCCAAGCTCCACGATACGCCTCTCCCAATGCGATTTCTCCCGAATAAGCTTGTTAATCTCATCATTGAGATCACGTAGTCGGTGCTCGCCCAGGCCTTCATTCTGGATCTCGGCAACTTTGCGGCCAATCTCCCGCATGATCTGCTGGCGCCATTTGTCAGCCTCGGAGAGGTCGCGACATTCGGAGGCGAGGTACGGGCGGCGTTCCTTGGGTTTCTTCTTTTCCTCGGCCTTCATGGCGATGAATCGATTGAGCATCGATTGGGCTTTCTCCTCATTACGCGCCATTGCGGAGCCTCAATTCTTCGAAACACAGAAACAAGAAAATTGAAGAGGAAGCTTGGATTTTGGAGAAGGAGAGTCGGTGAGGTTGAACCCTAAACACACAGGGAATCCGAAGTTCGAAGAGCAGAACTGCAGGAGGACGATGGCAGAGAGGGAATTTTCATGGTCAGGGTGGTAATTGGATTGGCGGTTTTCTTTCGGGCCTTGGTTTGGGCTGGACTGCTTTTTTAACTGGGCTCGGCTTATAAGGAACAAACCCTAACTTAGCCCCTAAACTTGGAAAAAATTTTCTAATTTTACCCTAACACTTATTATTAATTAGGCCGCTCTATTAAGTTGAAGCTAAAATGAGTATGTGAGTTACTGTTACTTAGTTAGAACCTCATGAACATGAAGAAGGTGTGTTTAGTTTGAGGACGAGAAAAAGAAGTGTTTTATTTATTTTTTGTTTTAATTAATTAATTTTTTTAAATAAAGAGAGACAAGAAAAAAAAAAAAATGATACTTGTCTTTCTTTTAAACCAAAAATATCATAAAAGCGCACCTGGCCCTTGAGGCCCAGTGACATAGCCACCGGTGCATTCCCCCTCCTTCGGCAGGGTTCAAAACCTGCCCTTGCAAAATATGTTCAAAAAAAAAAAATATCATAAAAGCATGTTTGGTATGCATTTCCCTTTAAAAAACGATACGAAAAAAATGCGCAAAAATGGTTTGGCGTGGCTTAAGAAACTTTTTATGAGGCATGCAAATTTAGACGGTAATATTATTAATTAAAAAATAAGACAATCTACTAATAAAATAAAAAATTTTTTAAATAAAATTTTGAATTTAACTCTTATAAATAAAAAAATAAATATTAAGACCGAATTCAATTTAAATTAATTAATATCTAGTATAAATTTTTTAATACTAAAGATTAATACCAAAAGATAAAAACAAAGATAATCTAGGACCACAGAGCTGCTGCCCTCATTTATGATATTCAGAAATTGAAGGAGGGCTTTGATTCTTGCATCATCCAGCATGCTCTGCGAGGAGGCAATGCAGCTGCGGATTATATTATATGGCTTCCTTGGGCTATTGCTTGCCTCTTGGATTAACACTTTTTGACATACCGCCAGTAGGCATTGCTCCCATCCTGCTTTCGGGCACTGTAGGCGTCACTTTTGTACGGCAATAGTTAGCTAGTTTTCTTTTCCTGATATAAAATAAGTAATAGATAACATTCCAAATTTTTTAAGAAACATATTTTTTGGGGACTTTTTGATAGCCTGGTGACATTAGGGATATAATTGTTCATAAAGAGGAAATTGGCATTTAATCATATATAATTTTTTATTCTCTCATTGTAATTAATTATATTTTAATTTAATTAATTTTTAATTAATTATATTGCACCAAAGTTTATTAGTCAAGAAATTTAATTTTTTAAGTGAAGTCATTTTTTTGTCAATTTCCTTATATTACTTTTCTAGAGAAATTGTATCTCCAACACGTCCTAAAAGTATGATATATATTTGGGCCAATTAGACTAAAAATGTGGGAGGATAATTTTGACAGTGTTTTTTTCTAACTTATTCTTTATTATTGCACTATTTTATATTATATTGATTACTATGAAAAACTAAAAATTAATATTAATTTTAATAATTATTAGATTAAGTTCATT